TTCGATCCCCGGTGGAAGCACACTATTCTCTTTCCTGTTACAAAAGAAATAAAAGCTTTTCTTTGTTCTTATTTCCCTCAGAACACGGCATAGCAAGTGCGACGGTATGCCATTACCGCTGCCTAAAATATTCTTACATTACAGTCACTGACATATAATTTGACTGGTCACGGTGATGATCGTCAATCTATACTTTAACCGTAGCTTTTCTGTTTGCAAATCAGGTTAGAAAAATGTAAACGTTTGATTGTCAACCAAAATCGAATACTCGTATTGCTTACGTTATGTCTGTAAAATCACATGCAATCACGCACGTCTGCTTTCATTTCTCAAACCGGAAGTGACATCTCCATACTAAAGACGCTTGAATATTCATAATTTACTCACCCTTTGTTCTCTGTAACATGAATCATATAAGATAAAAATATATTTTGTTCAACAAGCAAAACATTAATGCAATCACAGTCGGATAATAAAAGCGACATGAGTTATGAACACATTTTGGAAGCTATATCCGGTTTGATCAACATCAGCAGTATGTTTGTTGTCGTCTCGCCATGTGTGCATTCTACTTTCTGTTCGCCCTTTTTATTTATTTCTTGGAGATAGACCATGGTGGATGGTACGTTATACATACTGTGCTATTGATGCAAACATCACATATTTGTTGTTGTTGACATTTTACCGTTTGAGACCACATAAATGATTCGATTTGTTGCTTTATCATATCAGTAGCTATATCCTTACATACTGATGTACTGTACATGTGACACGTGTATAATTAATATACAAATATTGCGCATGAAACATAACATTTCATCATATTCTTGCATTGTTATATGTCAACGTTCAGCTATCATATTGTAAGATAAATGGACTGTGTCAATTATCCACACGTGCTGGACACACTAATAGAAATATATGGGTGTATACAATTAGTATAACTATATAGACACATCATACGATTAGTGTGCCAAGCACCTGTGCTACCAGGTAGATGTAGCATTTGGTTTGAGCGTCCGTCGAAGTTGGAGGCCCCGCTGAGGTTTGAATCCTGGTCTGGCCGTGTATTTTTCCTCTCCTATTACAGTGGTGCCATGACCAATCCTTGATACAAATCTTTGATGCATACATACTTCCTAACTGATGAAATCTTTCGAAGATGATGAGGGATTCTTACAATGGTCAGCATCAATGTTAGACATCTGACCCAATCTCACAACACACAATCTTTTTTCTTAGCTCTCAAATATTGTTGACAACCAATTTTGCGTACGATTTTAATAAATAAACATTAAAAATTAGTTGGTTAGCACCATTCATTTATATATATAATTATGTGAGTCGCTGTAACTCACTCAGAAAGGAAAATAGATACATAAGAACAAATTGTGAGTATTTCACAAAGACAGGATTGATGCCAACAGCAATTAACACATTTATAGTCTGCAGTGATCTAGAACATGTTTGTACACAATCATATCATCATTCACATACAGGTATATTATTACGTAGAATTTACTTTGACAGGTCTACAGATAAGGAGGCTGTGCTAGTCACACCTGGGCCATGTACAATAGATGTCAGAGACCACACCCTCACACAGAAAGAATTCCTCCACAGGTTTGGCAGCTGCTCAATGAAAAATCATATTACTTTTTGTTTGTTAATATGAATAATTGATGATAATATTAATGCAACATCTGTGTTCACTTATTTGTTGCTTGTGTTTATTCTATAGTTTGTAACTTATATAATGGACAAAAATGCAATGTTCACAGTGGCCTGCAAGTATATCCCATAATCAGCCTTACAGATACTCTGTTATATTGGTTAATGACAGTATAAATATATATAACCATGTATAATTTTGTTCTTATTTTTTTTTCTTCACTTCAGGTATGCATATTCAAAACCATTAATAATAAAAAGAGGAAGAAATGAAAATCATGTAAGTATTGGTCAGATAGGATTCGGTCTGTGAAAATAATCTGGAAAAAATAATGCTCTTAAAATATACCTCTATCCAAAAGATGAAATATCCAAGTTATGTTAAGATTACAGGCATGCATAATAGCCTGGTAGTAGTGTGTTGCTTTGAGGCTTCAACATTTCTATGTAATACTATCTACAATTGTTTAACAAAACACTTCATTGTTCTTTCCATTTCCACCAGAACTTTTTGAAATCTTGCCGAAAAAAGAATATGCTAGAAAAATATGGATCAAAGAAAATTCGCTTAAGTTCAGCAAATACCCACTCTTATCAAAAAGGTAAGTTGATCGATTTTTAAATTAATCTCAAAGAACAAAAGATGTAAAGGTCCACATTTCATGTAGCGTGACAAAACATTGCATTATAATATGTAAACATAAAATAGACAGCAGCTTAAGGAAACTTTATAAATAATTCCTTCAAATGAGGGGTGACACTGTTTTAGCATTTAAACCAATAAAGATATATATAAAATGCAGATAGTAAAAATGAATTTAAAGCAAAGTTGAATCTGAAGTTGAAATATAGAACATACCTGATCATGTAAACAATAGTCCATCTGACATTATGAGGTTGTAAATGTCTTTACCTGTTTGTTTTACATTCAATTATATAGTAGTATTTAACTTTCATTTTCAGTTGATGTTACCTTACAGTATTATGTAGAGAATGTCTTGAAACCTCAGACACTACAGATGATGGGGAATGGTATGTATCAGTACCAGGGTATTCATTTGAAAATACTTCATAAAAGGCTTCTATGCCAAACATCCTAATGTGAAAGGTCAAATCATTCACCATCAAAATATATCGGTTTTCATACAATAACTTAATTGACTTCCAATGGAAATCTAAATAAACTTTGTACAGTGCTTCCTTATCAAAAACAATATCTTGAAATTGGTTACAAGGTCAAAGGTTAAGGTCAATGTCACTTGCAGTGAAATTGTTATGAATAGATCAGTTAAGGACAGTAAGTGGAGTTCCCAGGAATCAAGTTGTTTTAAATGTTATGAATGAAATCATACTAAACAGGCTATAAAAGTCTTTCAAGACAAAGGGAAGAGATAGGAGCAAAGTTCAAAGGTTGAAGTTACTCGTAATTTGATAATTTAAGGATAGGAATATAAATTACACTGCTGAAGGAGAAATATTTAAAAAATAGTTGGACCAACGTGATAGCATATAGCATTTTCCCTATATACTATATTATCAAGATTTTGATTGTGTACTGTCTTACAGAGACATTTTACTGGTTTGGTGATAACAACTACACAGAGTGGCAGGAACTGTTTGACATGTACTCCGCACCTCCATATTATCTACCCGACATGACTGGTGTATACAGCTTTGGGCTCGCAGGTCAGTGAACAATTTGTAACAGAAACAATGTAATGATTGAATATGATGATACTTTCGACTCACTGCATGAATATTACACTTGTATTGTAGAATATACCGATATTTCCACGTGTGAAAAATTCCGATGTTCTACCATACTCGTGAAAATATATATTTCAGGTAATCTAAAAAGAAAACTGTTAAATTTCCTCTATATATCACATATATCAGATGAATATTACGATAGTGATACAGCCAATTTTCAGACAATGTACTATGAGGCTTTGTATTTCCTATTGACAATATGTTGTATTGCCTTAGTAGTCAACACTTTGGTGGCTTGAACTCATATCAGTTATCATCTTGTGAAATTGATTGATTGAAACAATTTAAGATAATTTTCAAATATGTAATTTTTTTGGAAGCAAATTGAACATTAATCAAGATATCATTTGTGAAGTTATACCACAACACAATTATTGTATGCATATTTTAAACAATTGTGGTAATTGTGGGTTTATTATTACTTCAGGCATTATGTAAATGTAGAAATCACTTGTGTGGTACACAAACTAATTGGTTCATTAATATGCTCAATAAACTATCTATGTCAGGTAAAGATTTGTGGTATAGCTTATGTTGGTGTATTGTAACAGGTGCAGGCACTGGGGTACCATTCCACTTCCATGGTCCAGGGTTCGGTGAAGTCATCTATGGCAGGAAGGTAAGCCTCACAGTTCTGTACATACATGTATTGTTGAACTGGGTAGAGGTCGGTAACAGAATTACAAATATAAGTACATTCAAATTCACAAAAGAAAAAAAAAGGTCTGCTATGTTTAGTAAACCAGAGTAAGATATTTCTGTGATTGTTTCTCCACTTAAGCCAATAAACTTTGTAAAACTATCCTACTAATCCTGTGTTTAATTGGCCAATACACAACCCCACCTAACATATAGTATAGTGTCACCACTAAAACCTCTATGTAATTCTGTTTTATATGTTCATTACTAGTAAACCATATACCTACAGCTTAGGTTTTCTTTGTTTCAGCGTTGGTTCTTGACACCCCCAGATAAGAAGCCAAACTTTCACCCCAATCGGACAACACTACAGTGGCTTATAGAGGACCTACCTAAACTCGGCTCTGAAGATCATCCTCTGGAATGTACTATAGGTCCAGGGGAGGTAAGTACACCTTGTTACCTTATCATAATCTTTATCGGATGACATCTTTGATGACATATTATGTAACATGGCATGTAATTTTCACTCTTCCAATTGATTCTACTTCTTTAACAATGAATGTTGAGTCTTTAACCATGTTACTGTGTAAATTTACACTGTGGGTGAGGCTGTACTATACTTACATGATATGTATCATGAGCGAGACTATGCTGTGATTTTGAACTGCTTGTTTTGTAGATGATCTACTTTCCCGACAGATGGTGGCACGGGACGTTGAACATCGACACAAGTGTTTTCATCAGCACATTCCTAGGATAATGTACATATACAAATATTTATACACTTGTTTTATTTATTTATTTTAATAAAATTTTCTTTTTCTCTAGAGACAATTTGTTCAATATTTGTTTTTATACCCCTCCCCAAAGGGAATCACCCTTTCCATCTGTCTGTCAACAAACACCATAAGTGCAACTACTCCTTAACTGTTAGTTGGATTTTTTTCAAGACATGGCACAGTAAAAGTATGTCATACGTGGACTATTTTATAGTGAGTTATGGCTCTCATTTGTTATAGTTGATGAATGAAAAAACCAATGTTCAATAAGTTAATACATAATTACATTATTGAAAGTGAGATTGTATTTGCAAAATTTCCTAAATGATATCAATTTTAAACATTAACTCCTTCCATTTCACTGTCTCATATGATATCTAGCATTAGGAAATTGGACAGTAGATACTGATATTATTGGGCTATGTTTTTTATGCCCGTAAAACAGCTGTAGGAATGTCCACTGAAACAAATGGTCATGAAAAGCTACATTTTAGCCATCCGTTATCAGATGGTGGGCTGTTCAAAACACCTTTTGTCTCTGGTCCATTTGTCCTTTGTTTGTCCTTCATCAGTTCTACAACTTCTACAATGTATTTCTGAAGAAGAAACATGCACAACTACAGACCATGTGGAACCTAAATTTAAAACTTGAGAAAGATATATCACGTACTTCACGAGAAATAGCTATTACAAACTTGAACTGTCAAAATAAAAAATGACTGCCATCTTGTCTTTGATCAGTCTGAAAATGAAGCATGCATAACTATGAATCAAGGGAAACTATTGTACGACATTTGAGAAAGATCTCTCCAGTTTTTATTGATAAATAGCAAGAAATGTTGAAGGACAGATGACAGATACAGGGCTATTTCAAAAGCCCACCATCTGATTTAAGTAGGAGGCTGCAGTGGGATGGAGGATGCACCAAGGCATCAGTTTGTAGGACTCTCAGGATCAAGTCCACTTAAAATGAAGGTTTCATTTGCACCAGCACAGTCAGAACCAACCGTTCGGATAATCCCCATACGGTCTTTATACCTTTGTCTGAATAAGGACAAGTTAAACTATAAATTGTTATGTTTTTATTGTTTTATATAAAATTGAACAAGCATTCTTACATCTGCATATTTTTGTAAAATGATCTATGAATAAGCTCTGCATATTGATTCTGTATGGCATACAATTCAAGGTCATTTAGAACATGAATTGCACTCTGATTGTATAGCATGACAAACACTCCGTCTGGATATTCAACAAAACAACACATCAATGTAATAAAGCACCAATGTAATGAACAATTACAGTTTGGAAATCTATAGTACGGTAAATGTATAGTACCTCTTTACAACTCTGTGTATAATCCATACCTTTCAACAACTCAATACCCGTTCTATATATACTACAAGTTATAGCAACAAGTGTCAAAGTATTAACAAAAGATACCCAAGTATTTCATGTAAGAAATGAAATAAATGCAACTTTCTGTAAAATATAACATGCCCATGATTTTGCTTCTGAATGCTTTATAAGTACTCTAACACATATTATAATAATGTAAAAAATATCTACTGAACAAAGTAAAGGGAAGGCCTAAAATGAAATAATAGTTGTATGCCTAAATCTTACCAACCTGGTTAAAAAGTAAACGCCAGTTTACACGCAACTAAATCATTTACTATACATTTGTATGTTACTACTAAGTTTTTAAGCTAATAGCGTTAATATTTGAAGTTCAACACTAGTGACAATTGTCT